GGGGAAAGGGGAAAGGGGAAAGGGGAAAGGGGAAAGGGGAAAGGGGAGGGAAGGGAAGGAAAGGAAAGGAAAGGAAAGGAAAGGAAAGGAAAGGAAAGGAAAGGAAAGGAAAGGAAGAATGCAGAACTGTGGACTGAGTTATTTTTGCATGTACATACACGCAAAAATCTCTACATTTAAACATTTTAATACTCTAATCAAATGTGATTTCTCTTGCCAGTTCCTTTTAAATACACCCGCTTGGCAATTTGAAGCAAGACATCTTTTATCTGAGTCAAACTTCTCAGTGTTACTGCTTGTAAGGTATCCCCAGGAGTAGTTCTTCCCCTGAACACTTGGGGTTGCAAATAGAGGGAAAATTTATACAGAGTAATGTAATATTTTTGGCTGCAGTAGACCTGGTATTCCATGTACCTTTGACACATCCTGATGATGGGGTCTCAGCAATTATTAGTTTACAGAAATATTCTGGTTTTATTAAGAACTATTTCTTGTTTCTGCTCTTGTTAACAACTTAAAGGCACCAGGCAAAGTAAATACCATCAGAAATTTTTCAAAGAAATGCTATTTCTGTGGGAACACTCCTCAACTCTGGGATAATGTGTATAGAAAAAAAAAGAGAGACACAAAATAGTTTTTATATAGAAAACAGTCCATAGACACCTAACTTGAGCTCCTGGGCTAAAATGTCATCTGTTTGCAGCTCTTACACGAAAAACTAAGGGTGCAAAGTTCTTATAGAAGACTCCAGTGTATTTCTCCATCTCAGTGGAGATTTTATTTAGATATGAGTCACCAAAATAATTCTGTATTGAAACTCCCACCCTTTTCCATCCATCTTTCACTGCTTTGGTAATTATGAGGTCTTAATCCCTTTGGAGTCCCTCAGGGCAAACAACTCATGGTAGAAAACCAAGCAAGGGTGAAAAATCAAACCAGCCTCTGGAAATGTTAAAAGAAATTCTTTATTAAAAAAAACCAAACCAACCAACCAAAAAAACCCCACAGTGCTTCAAAAGAGCCTTTCTACATCTCTATCATTTAAGGTCCATATATTTCTCACGTATTTATGTATTTTATTTATTCCCCCTCCCCAGCAATATCTGGATGTTAAAGACTGGTATTGACCATTCCCCCCATGCCCACTGGTGGTGGAGCTGAGTGGATTTTGCTGCAGTCTTTCTTTATTTCTGTTTCTAGACCTGCACTCATACCATTCCATTGTAAACAGATAATTATTATTTCATTAGCGTTTCAATTCAGAATTAATTGGCTAATTTACACATGGATCAATTGTATAAATGTGATGTTTGTGATGGGTCCTTGATATGATTTAAAGTAATTGTTTATTTTCGGGTTTTGGCTGTATTGTATTGCAAAGTGATTTATCTCCTTATTTATCCTGTCTCGGCACTGCCTCTTCTTTTTCATTATTTTTCTAAAGAGCTACACTTTTGCTAGGCTGAAGCACGAACCTGTGTGGTGTGATTCTGTGGTTCCCACATTTACATGAGCTCCTAAAAGCTCCAAAAATCTCAAAAAAGCCCTGCTGATGTTACCTGCTCACAGAGCACTGTGCTCACAGCCCTGTTTGCCTGGCAGGAATTACCCACTGCAGGCTGTATTTACCCAGATTCTTGTGCCACCTTTATAGCTGCCATCCCTGAGTGTCCCCGCTGCAACCAAGGGTGACAAACATCTGTCACTTTGGGTTCAGTTCCCTTTTTTCCAACCTGAGGAAAGGGCAGTGCTTAGTTTTCTTGCTCCTTTGTTTGTCCAGGTGGGAGCCCAGTGGTGGGGGGCTGCAGGCAGGACTTGTGGGACAGCAGTAGTGAGGTTTGCACCCACTTCTGCTCTCACAGAAGGTTTTTGGTGGTGGCAGGACCTCCTCCCACAGAGCCTGATGTGTTTTTTGCAGAAGGCACTGGCCAGCCAGTCTCCCTAAACCAGCCCTGTGCTCTCCCAAGGATATTTGCAGCATTTGGCCTTACAGCAGTTGTAGGGAAGCAGTAATTCACCAACACTGCTTGATTTCATGGCTGACTTTAAACATTCTTCCACGGGGAAGTGCTGAAACACTTCCTTGCATCAGGCTTTACATATTGAGGAGGAGAGGAAAAAAGGGATGAGAACACAGTTAACAGCTTGCCCCACACAGAAACACTCCTTTCCCAGGCAATCAGAATGAAACTCTTCCCCCACCAGATTTTAGAGCTGTGATTATGCTGTTCAGGCAGATAAGCACAATTTTGGGAATGCCAGAGATTAACTGCTGTAGAGTTTGAGCCTTTGTCAGTGGCTCTCCCCTTCCTACTGCAAATCTTTCCAGATTATCAGGGCCTTCCTAAAATCTGAGTTGTTCAGAAACAAGGCATTTCTCTGTCATTCTTTCAATTGCTTCTTCTGAAACACATGATTGGAAAAAGAGGTTACCCAGAAGAGGGATGCTACTTTCCCATCATGAGGAATGTCTCTTGCAGGATGTGTCTGATAAGGATGTTTTATTCAAGACTGGAAGAACTACAAGGGAGTTATGCTTTGTAGCCTGTCTCAGGTTTCACCAGGCTGAGTGCATCAGGGTGTATGTGATGTGTGTGGGTTGAGAGGTATTTTGGAACAGTTAAAGTTGCTCCCTTATTATGCCTTACAATGGCATTTTTGTACCTTTAAATGGAAGGCTTTGTTAGTCTCTGTTTTCCAGTGGCTTCCTGGCAAGCTGAGAGTCCTCTCTGACAAATATTAGAATCTTATAGCACTTCAAGAAAGCAGGTTGTTCAGTTTAGGAAACTTTTATTTCTGGGGCTCATCACAGTCCTGTGTCTGACTCACAGAAATATTATTTTTACCGGAAAGGGGAAAAAATCCTAGGTTGTGATATTTTTGTGAAACAAATGCTGCTGTGAAGTCTGTGTAATTTGGAATAAATCCGTGGGAGCAGAACTGATGGGCAGATGATATAATCTAAGTACAATCTTTATCTCATGCAGCACTACACACATGCTCTATATAATGTGATATGATGCTCTGATGCCATCACAAACTCATACAACATATCCTTTGCTTTTGTCATTTTGACTTGCCCACTGGTCTAATTTCTGGACGGTTTAATCATCTTGATATTAGTCATGTGTGTACAACTTATCACTTCCACAAGTGAACTCCCAGAATAGAGGTCAGATAATACACTGGAGGAAATCCTTTGTGAAAACTACCATTGGAGGATTTGAAGGCAGAGCATGTGCTGTTCTTTAGCATCTCATCCAAACATAAGCTTTACTGTAGCTCATCCTTCCTGTTTCAAAATATGCCAGGACAGAAATACCCAGAGAACAATGGATACGTGGTGGCTTTGCAGCTTTTACATCTGAAGACTGGTGCTCACATACCAAGCCGTAAACTCTGAGGTACCATGTAAAAAA